GAACACTTCGTTGGTTTCTTGACCCCAACTCACCTTATCTTGTTTCTAGACTGTAAATTCTGCAGAGCTGTGTGAGTTGGCAATAAAAGTTGCAGCTTGCTTTGTTTTGGTCAGCTTCACCTCCTGGAGTTTTCTTCACAGCCCCTTTGTTTCCCTCCACAGGAGTACTCCCCCAGCTGTAAGAGGCGCCGCACTGTTGAAGACTTCAACAAATTCTGCACCTTCGTCTTGGCATATGCTGGCTACATCCCCTACCCGAAGGAGGTAATGATTACAGTTTGGAGGCTCAGCCTTGACTCCCTGCTACAGGTGCTTTAGCAGTGGCGGGTCTGGAGGCACTTTGTGCCAGCTTCAGGCAGCAGTCTGGCGGGAATCAGGTTTTTGGGAACCTAGATGCGCTCAGACAGGGAACAGGGAAGTGATTCCAAAGCTATCGTAAGCTTCTCTAGAACTGACTTAACAAATAGATTTCCATTTACTTATTTATTTATTTTTGGTTTTTCAAGACAGGGTTTTTCTGTGTAGCCCTAGCTGTCCTGGCATTCACTCTTTAGACCAAGCTGGCCTTGAACCACTTCCCTTAAAGGCTTGTGCTGCTTTGCTCAGCTGTTGTTTTGTTTGGCTTTTAAAGAAGGTCAAAAATTTGAAACTAACTTAAGTCACTTAATTGAAAAATACCTGTTGTGAGCCAGGAATGGGGCATGCCTTTAATCCAGCATTCAGGAGGCAGAGGCAGGCAGATATCTGAGTTTGGGACTGTTGGGAGAACAAATGGAGGTGTACTCTTCCTTTTCCAGGGAGACTGAAGCTGAGAGAAGGTGATTGTAGTAGCGGTTTCTGTAGGAGGTTTCTGTAGGATCTTGGAGGGTGGGAAGAACTCAGGGCCCCTTCCTTGCATGCTAGGCAAGCACTCTGCCACTCCAGTCCTGAATTGCATCTTAGCCCTGACTGTGAGCTTTGTCCTGGCTCTGGGCAGGAACATCTCAGTGAGGGAAGGTGTGCCATCCTGGTCTGCTGGCGCCTTAATACTAATGAGGTCATATAAGTTTGATGCTGGTTTGAGCCCAGGTTCCAAGTTGTGCTTGCTCAGTGTAGAAGGACTGACCTGCTTGGAGGCTCCTAGCCCTGGAGGCTGCTTAGATGACCAACCATGCCTTGTTGCTGTCTGTTTCAGGAGCTCCCCTTGAGGAGCAGCCCCAGTCCCGCCAACAGCACTGCGGGCACCATCGACAGTGATGGCTGGGACACAGGCTTCTCTGACATCACCTCTTCTGTGCCCTTGCCGGTGTCGGACCGCTGCTTCAGCCACCTGCAGCCTTCCCTCCTGCAGCGGGCAAAGCCCAGTGACTTCCTGCTGGACAGGAAGAAGACAGACAAGCTGAAGAAGAAGAAGAAGAGGAAGCGGAGGGACAGCGACATTCCTGTGAAGGAGGGGTACAGAGGGGGTTTGCTGAAGCTGGAAGCTGCAGACCCATACGTAGAGACCCCCACCAGTCCCACCATACAGGATATTCCCCAGGCCTCTGCTGACCCCTGCTCAGGCTGGGACTCTGACACTCCCTCAAGTGGCTCTTGTGCTACTGTGTCACCTGATCAGGTTAAAGAAATAAAAACTGAAGGGAAACGGACTATTGTCCGGCAGGGGAAGCAGGTGGTGTTCCGGGATGAAGACAGCACTGGCAACGATGAGGACATCATGGTAGACTCAGGTGAGTGCTTTGAGCAGAGGGTCTAGACCCTGGGGTGGGATCAGGGAGGAAGTGTGGAAAGGTAGATAGGTGCTCTTAAGAGTTGTTAGCTCCTGGGTACAGCCCAAGATTTCTGTCCAAGCCTGAGTGTGAAAATGACGTAGGCCCCCCCCATGGCTCTCAGCTGGTGTGAGTGTGGCCACACTCAGGCCACCGTGTGCTGGGTGTGCAGCTCCCAGGCAAGATGGCGGGCCTCAGGAGGTTCTCACTTGTCAACTGCTCATTTCCCTCCAGATGACGATTCCTGGGATCTTGTCACCTGTTTCTGCATGAAGCCCTTTGCTGGTCGCCCCATGATAGAGTGTAACGAGTGCCACACCTGGATCCACCTGTCCTGTGCGAAGATCCGCAAGTCCAATGTTCCGGAAGTGTTTGTCTGCCAAAAGTGCCGGGACTCCAAGTTCGATATCCGACGTTCCAATCGTTCCCGAATGGGCTCCCGGAAGCTGTTTCTGGACTGATGTGGAGCTGGCCAGGAGATAGGCGGGGCTGGAAGGGCCTGGGCTCTGTGGCCTCCCTTAGTTGAGCACAGGACTCCCGGCTCTGGTTCGGGCAGACCCTGCCACTCAGGTGCCTAAGCAAAGGACTAGCTGTCCAGATAAAACTGTACATAGCCAGTGAGCAGATAAAATGGTGGCCAAAGCTGCTGCTCCAGCTGTGTTCTTGGTACCGGAGCACCAGGTCTACTCGAGCTGAGTGCGGGCACACAGGATCATTAGCCAGTTCCCACCGTTGGGAGACGTTCTAGCTGTCAGTCCTGTCTCCTCTGTGCTTGGGAATGGAGTTGTTCTGTTCCCCTGGCCTGTGTTTATTCTCCAGTGTTGCTCTATTATCACAAGTGTCTATACAGCAGCCGTCCAAGTTGTCTGCCCCTTTGTGATCTCATTGTCCCTGCCTTAGTTGTACTTACTGGGCTAGGGAGTTGCTTCCTTAGAGATCTGGTGTCCCCAGGAGGCGCCCTTGGTGGTGGGTGAGCGGTGAGTTTTTGGTTTTCACTGTTTGTTGAAGGGACAGTACGTACCCACTTCTCCACAAAGCAGGGTTGTGGGTGGAGGTTGTCCTGTGTTCATAACTCAGTTCTTGTTTTGCACGATGTAAAAAAACCATTTTTTCGCACAATACAGTCCAAAGTATTAGCCAGTGTCTTCCTACGTGCCGTCGTCGGTGATCCGTGCCCCAGGGTGCCCAGCACCACCCTCTGTGGGAACACTTGGTTTCTCTGTTCTTCATCTGCTCCAGTAGCAGCCCCCAGATGATGCTGTCCTCAGGACCTATGTGCTGTTGGTTTAGATGACGGTTAGAAAGAATCCAAGGGCATCCTACAGGGACTGCCCTTACTGCACACAGGCTGGCCTGCTGGGTTCCCGGGGCAAGGCACAGGTTTGGATTAATGCTGAAACATCATCTTGCAACAGTGTGCAGAGTTGGAAAGGTGTAACCCAGAGCCCTGGTCTGGGTGAGGGCTGCCCCACACCTGGACACTGGTGGTTTTAGGGCTGGGAAGAAGAGGGAGCGCTGTGGCTCTCGGGGTCCTCGTTCTTCAGCACTTCCGATGCTTGTTCTCAGCAGTGTTTGGCAAAGCAGTGGGTATATTTCTTAAGTATTGTTTCTTGTTAGGCATGAGACAGGGAAGAGTACCCAAGTAGGTCCCATTTCTTCCCCCTGTGTAACACCTTTGCAGGGTCACCAGGCTTTCATCTTAAACACCAAAGGAGCTCAGACGTAACGAGGCTAATCAGAGCCCCTTTTGGGGGGAGGGAAAGGGGTGGGTCTCAGTGTCTTTCACACTTGTCCAGTTGAAGTAACTGTCTTAGTTTTTTGTTTGTTTTTAAAGTCCTGTTGCTCATATTAAAGTACAGAGACTCATTGCTGAAGCTCAGTTGGTTGCGTAAATCTCAAGGGAGAACTCTGCTATAGTGAAGGAGCTGTTGTCTGGCTCTGACTGGAGTAAATACCCAGGACAAGTTAGAGGAATTTGCCAAAGACCTGCCCCATGACAGTACTTGTCCAGTATCCTCACCCTGAGAAGAACCAAAGTTCCAGTAGGTGTTTTTTTTTTTTTTTTTTAAAGTGCATTTAAGAATACGTGGTTTTGTTGTGGTTTGGTGTGGAAGGCCATTGATGTTTGTGCCCAGAGATTTGATAGCTCTGGGATACAGTGACACTCATCTCAGTTTGTTCGCTTGCTTTGTGTTTTTAAGGGGAGTTTTCCCTGCGGGTGGTTTGGGGGTAGATTGAGCTGGGCAGCTGTCATCAGCTTCTTTATGCAAACTGGGCATGACCCTTCTAGGGGTTCCTGGTTGATGCTAGTGATCTGAGGGGAGGGAAAGGTGTCACCCCCAAAGTAGACCCCTCCCATTGGCTTTGGCCAGGCCAGACACAACATCGTTTACATGGTTCTGTGTAATTATAAAGTTTATGTGTATAAAGCAAGCTGTTTCTGTGAAACTGTATATTTTGTAAATAAAGATATTGCTACTTTGAGGTTGGTGTCTCCTGAGTTATCCTGTGCTGAAGGACACTGTCTTCCCAGTTACTTATCCAGGTGGTGCTGACTTGTTTTTGGCATTTAGCACAATAAAAAGGACGGTGATTCCTGGTCTGCTTCCCAAGTTAACTTCTAGACCCAGTGTAGCTTACTGACAGGCTTGAGCACTAGGCAGAGGCAGGGGGATATCTTGAGTTTGACGCCAGCCTGGTCTACAGAGCGAGTTCCACGAAAGGCTCCAAAGCTACACAGAGAAACCCTGTTTTGGAAAAGGGGAAAAAAAAAGGCTTGTTCCTCAGTCACTGTGTCTCCACCCCCAGATTTACCTGTGCTTAAAAGCCACAACCTTTGCTCTGCAAGTTTGGGATTGGAACTTTCTTGTCCCGTCATGGTGATAGGCCTTTAAGCCCAGCATTTGGTAAGCAGGGAGAGGCGGATCTGAGAAGGGGTGAGTTTGCAGTGCTAGACTTTTCCCCCAAGTGGCCAAGAGGGCACCTCCCGTGGGTACCCCCTTTAAATGGGAGGCTGATAGGGGAATGTGATGGGTTCCAGGCTAGCCAGTCTCTACCTGTTTTTAAAAAGATCCAACTCCTCCTACTGCCTACAAGCACCTCAGGGATCTTTAAAATATTAGCTGAGTTGAGGGTTGATACCTCTGGTCCAGGTTTCCAAGGTTAATAGGGCTTAAACTCTTGGAGGCGGGGAGTAGAGCAAGCCAGGTCCCAGCCCCCGGAGCCCCGCAGACCCCGCCCCTCAAGCTCCGCCCCTGGGGCCGCGTACTGCCATCTTTGTTAGGGGCAGCGGGCTCATCTCCGAGATGCCGAAGTCGTGCGCGGCCCGGCAATGCTGCAACCGCTACAGCAGCCGCAGGAAGCAGCTCACCTTCCACCGGTGAGGGATGGGAGGCCGGGACCCGACCCTGTGTAGCAGTCACAGGCCCCAGTTCACCGGGCGGGAGCTCAGGGAGGCCCAGGGTGTGCGGACGAGGTGGACCGGGATTGCAGGGAGGGGACGGCTGGGGCGTCAGCGGTTGTTCCCGCAGCCTCAAAGCCCGAACCCCGCTAGCCTCTCTTAGTGCAGGCTTGGGCTAACCCATCTTGCCTGGAAGCATTAGATGCTTAGTGTAAACAGGCTGCGCGTGGGTGGCGTCTGGCTGTGTCCCTACGCTGGCCCCTTACTGCCTGCGTCACCTCGAGGGAGGCCCAGGCGGAGGTACATGGTCTGGAGGAATGAGCGCCCTCCAGGATGGCCAGGCCGCATGGGCTTTGGTCGTGGGAAGGTGGTGGGTACTCAGCCCTGTAGTCCCAGGACTCCTTCCCTCAGCCCAGCTCGTGCGGAGCCCTTTCCAGGGAAGCGCCCTTCAAGGCGCCAGCTTCGAGCAATGTCTGTGCCTCCGGCGCAGTTCACCGAGGCCTGGCAGCCTCACCGGGTGCTCCCCACCCCCCGCTGGGCCTCAGTACACTGTTTCAGTGCTTCTACCACGGAGAAATATACACATCAGTTGGCAGCCCACAGACGACTCTCCACTGGCACCCACTTCCAGTCTCTTCTCACCTGCCCACAGGGAGAGCCAGGTATGAGACTATCTCTCTCTCTCTCTCTCTCTCTCTCTCTCTCTCTCTCTCTCTCTCTCTCTCTCTCTCACTCTCTCTCACACACACCACACCCCACTCCATACCACCCTCCCTCCCTCTTTCCACTGTTGCCAGAGCCATCCTTGCCTCGCATGCGCAATTAAGTTCTTTTCTGCATAGTACTCCACTGAACATGTGTCAGAAATTGTGCTCTGCAAATGAAGGGCCTCTTGATGCCTGCATGGGCAGTTATCCAGGGACCTCTGTCTCCTGGTCATGTTGCCGTGTACTCAGGGACAGTCACCTCCATTCACCCTCGCCCTTTTCTTTTTCTTCTTTTTTTGTAAATAATTTTTATTTCATATGCATTCATGTTTTGCCTGCATGTATGTCTGTGTGAAGGTGTCCAATCCCCTGGAACTGGAGTTACAGGTGGTTATAAGCTGTCATGTGGGTGCTGGGAATTGAACCCCAGGTCCTCTGAAGTTAAGAGCTGGTGCTCTAAGCCATATCTCCAACCCCCACCTTTTGTTTTTAAATTTTTTTTATTTATTTGTGTGTGGGCACAGATGCCACGGTGCAGGAGTGGAGGTCATAGGACAGCTTCTAGAGTTGATTTCATTCGCCCACCATGTAAATCCTGGGGACCAAACTCAGGTCATCAGACTTGGCAGCCAGTGCCTTCACCAGCTGAATCATCTTGCTGGCTCTAATTTTTTTTTTTCCCCCAAGACAGGGTTTCTCTGTAGTTTTGGAGCCTGTCGCCTGCCCTGGAACTAGCTCTGTAGACTGCCTCCTGAGTGCTGGGATTAAAGGTGCGAACCACCACTGCCGGCCTAGAATGTTTTTATTAACACAGTTATCACATACACTGGTAGGCTCCTAATGACTTTTTCCTTCTGTGTGCGTTCCATGCTTTCGTTGACCTTTCTCTCAGGCGGTGTTGCTCCTACTTCTCTGAGAGAGCAGAGGTCTTGTGTCGCCCAGGCTGGTTTCTTCCTGCTGGAATTCCAGGCCTGCATGGCCACGTCAGTTCTTGCTTGGGCTTTGCCTTTGTCTTACCTGACTTCTCACTAGCTTGTGACCACACTGGTCTTTCCCCCAGAGTCCTAGGACACATCTGACCTCTGTCCCAGATTGTCCTCGTCAGTCTCCTTGGCTGAGTCCTCCCACTTCCCACACTGAGTGCTGACGTGTTCAACATGGAACCAGACTGCTCAAGTCTCCCAGGCCGGCAGGTTCTGCAGGGACATCCCCGGGCACGTGTGCCCATCTGCCACGCCTGTTCTTGGGCAGTCGAAGAGCACCTTGAACACCTAACATTCTAAACTTGTGTTCACCCAAACCTCCTGTCCTCCGTGGCAAACACGAAGTTCCTTCCTTCCCATTGCTTCATGAGCTACAGGCAAACCTTGAAACCTGGCCTTTTCTTTTTCTTTTGTTTTGAGACAAGTCCTTGACTGGCCTGGAACTTGTTAAGTAATGAGGCTGGTTTGGAGCTCACCTGCCTCTGCCTCCCGAGTGCTGGAATTAAAGTCTCGCGCCACTACCGCCCAGCAGTTGTTCTATTTTTGACAGAAGGTCTCATTCTGGTACTCCAGCCTTCCCAGACTTGAGTCGCTAACTTAGCATTGTCTTGCTTCATAGCATGTTCCCGCATCTCCAGCACTTTCTCCTGCTCGGCCCTGCTTCTCACTGCAGCCTGGGTGGACACATGCTGCCTTCCCTTCCCTTCTCTGGAACCTACAGAGACTCCCACCTATCTAAAGCCTCGTGTCACATGGTCCTTTGTGAAGGCCACTTGCTGCAGGGTCTGTTCAGGTGTCACCTTGCTAAGGACCACAGGGCCACCTCCTGTGGTCAGCTGCTGCAGCCCTCACAGTCCACCTCAGCTTGCTTTGCTGCTGTCTGCCACGTAGGCTCCTGAAGGGCAGGGACTTGGTCCTATGCACTGCCACGTTTTGGCAGGAAATTGAGACATGGTCAGAGGTGAACTTTTTTTTTTTTTTAATTTTCTTTTATGTGCATTGGTGTCTTGCCTGCACACGTCTGTGAGGGTGGATTTCCTGAAACTGGAGTTACAGAGAGTTGTGAGCTGCCATGTGGCTGCTGGGACTTGAACCCTGGGGTCCTCCGGAAGAGCATTCAGTGCTCCTAATCACTGAGCCATCTCTGTAGCCCCAGCAGTGAACTCATGAAGGAAGGAGAATTGCTGGCACATGCTTTGGAAATACAGCTCTCTTGAGCTCTTTTGCCATGCTCGTGATCCTGGGTTTCATATATGTACTGATAACAGCCTTGGCGAGTGTCTGGATTTTAGGGTAAACAAAGTGAACTACCGAGTTCCTAAGGCTGGATCATGGAATGCTGTGCCCATAGGTTCCCGTTCAGCCGCCCGGAGCTCCTGAAGGAGTGGGTGCTCAACATTGGCCGGGTCAACTTCAAGCCCAAGCAACACACAGTCATCTGTTCTGAGCACTTCAGACCCGAGTGCTTCAGCGCCTTTGGGAACCGCAAGAACCTCAAACACAATGCCGTGCCCACCGTGTTTGCTTTTCAGAACCCCACACAGGTAAGGTATTATTCACAATAAATAAGAAACCCAGGTACGATGGCACATGCCTGTAATCTCAGCACTTAGGAGGCAGAGGCCAGAGGATTGCCACAAACTCTAGCCTGAAGTATCTAGTGGTTCTAGGCTGTGTTTATAGGGTGGAGGTTACGGCTCTTAGGTGGGAAACCAGGGCCAGTGGTCAGAAGCTGGAAGAGATCTGAGCAGGTCCACTTCACAGTCCTCGGTGCCCCCAGGCTAAGCTGGTGGTGAGAAGCTGCAGATGGCCACTGTGAGCACTGCCAGCAGCTGCATGACCTTTTGATGACAGGGTACTGTAGGGCCAGTGTTCACCCAGAGGAGTCAGGTCCTTGGGGCTGTGGGGACCTGTTCAGGTGCCACTGATCCAGGATTTGGGGAGTACACCTAGTGCAGGCAAGAGTCAGCACAGCTGGATTTAGGCTGAGCAGGGGATGTGGCTGTACCAGGCCTCTGTCTGGCCCATGGTTAGGTCCCACTGTGTCCTGCCTGAGCCACGGCTGTCTTAGAGCTGGTGAGGGAGAGATGCCGCCTCTTGTGAGGGTTGCAGTGGAGGACAGTCAGGCAGTGCACTCGCACTGAGTTTAGTGAGCGCTGAGAGAGTATCTGGAGAAAAGTGGAGTGTCAGGTTTGAGTTCAGGATGCTCGCTTTCTCAGAGGAAGCTGTGGCCTCAGGCTCAGTGGGTCATAGGCTAGAGCCCCGGGAGTTGGTGGGAGGCAGGCTCTTACTGCGGATGCGCAGGACTTGGCTGCAGCCTCCGGGCAGGGATTACTCAGGGATGGACAGTGGCAGCTGCCTGAGGATCCGGTGTCTGCCAGCTCAGCCAGCCTGACTCCGCCTGCGTGCTGTATCCAGGTCTGTCCTGAGGTGGGGGCTGGTGGGGACTGCACCCTGGAAGAGTTTCAGCCTCCAGACACTGAAGGCCCTGTGAAACAGGTAAGACCCTGGGTACAAGCTGGTCTCAGAAATGCCCCAGAGGACCCGACAGATGACAGGACCAAAGCCTCTCCTAAGACCACCATCGGGATTTCACAAAGGGAAGTAGGGGAAATGGGGCTGGAGCTAGACCAGAAGGGTAGGGGGCATTGTGACCCCAGCTCAGAAGCCTTCCTGCTGGGGACACAGGGCCACACCTGGACAGCTCTTACTATTGACCTCTGTCCTCAGGTCTTACCAGAGAGAACAGAAGCAATGGAGGTTTCTGGCCCGCCAGCCGGCCCCATGGGGTTAGAACGGCCCTTCCCGGGACAGCCGTCGGATCACAGCTATGCCCTTCTGGACTTGGATACCCTGAAAAAAAAACTCTTCCTCACGCTGAAGGAAAACAAGAGGCTCCGGAAACGACTGAGGGCCCAGAGGCTGCTGCTTCGGAGAACATGTAGCCGCCTGCGAGCCTACAGAGAGGGACAGCGGGGACCACGGGCCAGACGGCCAGCACAGCAGAACTGAGCCCGAGGAGGCTCTGGGATGTGGGGAAGTGATTTTCGTCTTTGCTGTGCACATTCCTACTACTGGTGCTGCAAGGCACCTTGAGACTGGCTGGACAGGATGCCCTCGTCGGGAGGGCCCAAGTGCTGGGGAACCAGAGGTACAATCTCGGGTCTCCTGGGCTGAGGATGGCAGCTGTGGGCCTGTCTTGTAACAGTGACCAAATGTTAGGAGTTGTCACGGCCCTGCCAGAGATAGCTCCCCGAGGGAGAGGTGGCCATTCCTGCAGTCCACCTCCAGGAACACGGCTAGTCTGTGGGGTCCTTCTCACCTTCCCAGAGGAGCAGTTCTGAGGGCAGGGCAAGGGTCTCCCACACCAGCCTGTATTTTTGACGACTCTGGCCTGGTTTGTGTAAATGTGGAATAAATTCTTTGAACTCTATTTAAGGCCTGCTGCTTTCACTTTTTCCTGATACAGGAGAGATGGGGTGTGACTGATTGAAAATAACTAAACAGATAAATAAATGCATGTGGGGCAGGGCTGCAGAAACATCTTCTCCCCTGGGTAAGAGCACTGGCTGCTCTTTCAGAGGCTCCAGGTCCAGCTCCTGGCACCCACACGACGGCTTACCACCATCCAACTCCAATTCTAGGTGGTTTTTGTTTCTTTTTTTTTTTTTTTTTGTCCCCTTCTGATCTGAGGGCACCCCCGTAAATTACCTGGTGCACACATGCAGGCAAAATACCCACACATGGGCTGGAGAGAGCCCAGCTGTTAAAGGCCAGACTCACAACCAAGAACAGACTATCTAGACACGAAGACTGAAAAAGTGAAAACGTTAAATGTCTGAGTAGAGGCGCACACCTGTAGTTTCAGCACTTGGGGCAGAAGCAGGAGAATTAGGAGTTTTGGGCCAGCCTGGACCACACAACCAGACCATAATTAAAACGCAAACACAAAATCTTATGTCTAATTTCCTTATTTTGAGGTTCTATGTCTCAGGTAAACCTGAGTGTGGAATGGAAGCCAATGGTCTAAGCTGAAGCAGCAGGGGTGGGAGAGGCCTAGGGCACTGTGGCTGTCTCCTACCCCTTCCTAAACATACACGCACTGACGGACAGAGCGGCCTCAGCTTTCAGGTCAGGTTTATTGTTGGGCAGTGCCACCACAGTCAGCTTCACACAGAAGGGGCAGCGGTGCCCAGGGAGCCACAGGCCACTGAGTCGGGCTCATGCAATAGTGCAAACCGCACATCAGTCTGGGGCAAAGAAAAAGCCTCTTAAAAAAAAAAAAATCCAAAAAACGGAGATAAATATTACAGAACTGAATGCTCTTAAAAACTGAAGGGTTATGAGGATGGTGAGGCAGTGTCTGCCTTCAGCAGTTACTGCTGGGGGACCAGAGTCAGAGTCACCTCCGGTGTCACACCTGCTCAGAGGGTAGAGCTTGCAATGACAGCCACCAAGTGTGCAATGCACTAGAAGGGGCCTGGGAACTGAGGCTCCTTAGGAGGAACCTTGTGAGAGCCTAGCCTGGCAAGCAACAGCACCGCCTGCTGGGCGCTCACTAGAGGTTCAGGTACCTGGGCCAGCCTTGGGCCCACACCCAGGAATTGGCAAACTTGTGCCCCCACTACCTGCAAAGGTCTCCTCCTTCTAGCGCCGCCCTATAGAGCTTTGCAAGGCAGATGTCTTGTGGGTGGGGTGCAGGGGCCACTGGCAGCGGGATCTTTTTTTAGCACTGTGGGCAGTATGCCTGGACAGTGTACCCTGGGACCTGGGGTCTCCCCTCTCTGTCCCAAGCCAGGGCCTGGAGGAATGGTTTGAGAAGCTCTGGAAGGGGAAGAAAGAGACTAGTCTCCAAACCTGTTGTTCTCGGATAAAAAGCAGTTTTATAAACCCACAGTCCTCTCCAGTCCACTGTGTAATGTTCTAGAAGAGAAAGGTGGCTTGTGGGAGTCTACTGAGCAGCACGCGACACACCTTCCTTTTCATGTTTCCCAGGTGCAGCGTGGACTTCAGGAAGAACAGTCCATGTGTGAGGATGTCCCAAATGCCTCCCGAGAGCGGCTGTGCACGGCCACTCATGAGGACCGGGCGGGGGTGACCTCAAGAGTCGGTTCAGGCGCTGTCCTCCAGGAACATGATCCTTGGGAAAGATGTGGCCATGCTGTGGTCTGGCCAGGGTGGGGCTCTGCAGTCCTCACCCACAGCACCCAGGAGGCTAGGCTGTCTGCATGTCCCAACACATAATTGATACAGCGCCACCTTCTTGAGGGATAAACAAAAAACATCTCGTGTCTGGGTTTCCCTGCTCCAAAGTTGTAGACTCCCCGGAAAGTATTTTGTAGCATGTTTACTCAGGGTTCCCAGTAGTTTATCCGTCTGTGTCGATTCTGTGAGCTGGAAAGGAAAGCACAAGTCAGGGCAGCAGAGGACAGACAGGTGGGCTTCCTCTACCTCCTGCACAAGGCTAGGCCGGGAGCGGCTGCATTTCCCGTGTTCTGAGGCAGGGCTTTTCTATGTAGTCCACGGTTGGCCTAGATTTCAGACCCCTGCCTCCTGAGTTCCACCACCCCCAACCTGAAGCACCTGCTTCTGCACCCAGGGTGAAGGGTCTCTTCTACACAGCCATTCACAGCTGTGGCAAGAATGGTCATCCTACCCCATCTTACCCCATCTAAAAGTTCTGTGAGACTGTTCTGCCTGAATGTATGAATGAACCACATGTATGCTTGGTGCCCACGGGCAGAAGAGGGTGTCAGATCCTCTGAAACCAGTCACAGATGGTTGTGAGCCACTGTGTGGGTGCTGGGAACTGAACCTGGGTCCTCTGCAAGAACAAGAAACGCTCTGAACTGATGAGCCATCTCTCTAATAGACTTTTTGCTTCCTGCTAACAGCCCTGGCTCTGGCTGTTCTGGAATTTCCTGTGTAGAGCAGGTTGGCCGCTGCCTCCTGAGTGCTAGGGTCTTTCTTTTTCTTTGTTCTTGTTGTTTTTTCAAGACAGGGTTTCTCTGTGGCTTTGGAGCCTGCCCTGGAACTAGCTCTTGTAGAGCAGGCTGGCCTCAAACTCAAGAGATCCGCCTGCCTCTGTCTCCTGAATGCTGGGATCAAAGGCATTTGCTACCACCACCTCTCGGCTAGGTTTTTTTTTTTTTTGAGTTTTTGAGTTGAGCTTCACTGGGTAGCCCAGGCTGACTTGGAATCCATGATCCTACTAGCTCAGCTTCTTGGGTGCTTGAGTATCACACCTGGCCAAGAGCGTGCTCTAACCTCCTCACAACTCAGCTGTCTACACCGAGGGCACTACTCACACTGCTTTGGTATCCTCAGGGCCTCACTGTCAGGCACCATCACCTGGTGCAGCACGCCTCGGAACTGGTACAGCACTCGCAGGCTCTTCTCCTCCCCAACACACGGGTCATAGAACCCTGGCAGCCCAGCCTGCAACAAACAGAGGGTCGCCCTCAAGTCCTGCTCTGCTCCGCTCCTTTCTGCCGCCAACTGGGCACAACATGGATGAGGAGCTTGATGAAGCTTGATGAGATTGGAGTTGTTTACTTAGGCAGTACTAGACTGGCCATCAAGCCCCTTCTCTCCCGTCCAGCCTGAAGCCACGGCCAGCTGAGTCCACACCCTTTCTGGAACTTGCAGATAAACGGAATGCAAGTGCCAGGAAGGCAGGTGTGGGCTACTCAGTGGTCACTTTCGGGTGAATTTTAGGGCCCACGGGAGCAGAAGTGGTTCCAGCACAGAAGCTCTCCAGACTGTGGGGAAATGGTCACATACCTTGGAGGCCTCGGTGAGGATGAGCTTGGAGTCCTTCACCAGGCACTGCAGCGGCACGGTCACGTCAATCACCTTCACCCTCTCACTCTTCCTGCTCTTGTCGTTGACGAACTTCCCATACCAGGCATTCACGATGATGAGCCCTGCAGACAGAGCGGCAGGGGTGACACAGGCTGTCCTGCCAGGCCCCAGTGCCCAGCCCTCAGAGGGGTGCCTTCTCACCCATTCTGGACTCTTCTGCTTCGATTATTCTCCGGACAGACTCCTGCATCAGCCGCACCTTTGAGAGAAGACAAGACGAACAGGTCGGGGACCCTGGACTGTTTTGGTAAGAGCATGACAAGCCCCAGTTTGTGTCCGTCAAGATGTCTGCTCAGGGGCTGCAGGGAAAGGAGCACAAGCCTTGAGCTCAGCTCACCCACCAGGCTGAAGCCCCCAGCCACATCTGAGGCAGTGTTGGGGAGTCACCTGACAAGGCAGAACCCTACACGATGACCCCAGTGGAAGGGACAGCACCTTTTCTTCGTTCTCAGTGATTCTGCACATGGAGTTCAGGGAAGGATGAGAAATTACCGAACAGAGTCAGTATTTCAAAAGGAATAACAAGCTCCACGGTGATGAGTTTCAAGGCTAACCTGGGCTACATAGCAAGAATGCGGTCATCCCAAGTACTGTGAGGTCCTGCCTGAAGACAGACACTTCATGGGAGCAGCTGGACCCCACTCTCCTTGAGAAGGACTTGTGCTCTCTGTGGAACACACAGCTGGGTAGGGCTGTGTGCTGCCCCCAAATTTGCCTGGGGTTTGCCTGGGGACATGCGTGGCCTCATGCAGTTTCTCAGTCCTGTGCCTTTGCTGCCTTTCCTCTGGTCACAAGAACCCCATGGTACCATGCTGTTTAGTCATGATGCTTCTGCTCCCTCAGCTCCCCCAACAGGAAGTACATAGAGGGAGAAGAAGACAACCCCGCCACTTCACAAACCTTGTCTGGCCCTGGAGGGCTGTATTCATCTCAAGGCACAGACCGGAGTCTCTAGAACGTGCCCACAGGTCACAGACAGGCAATGAGGTTGTAAAATGAGGGGGGAAAAAGCCCTTGGGCTCTGGGATTAACACAGGGTAAAGGAGTTTCCTCTGCAGTCCCAGTTCAGCAGGATGGGTTGGAGAAGGGGACAGGAGGCTGCCCTGGGTCTGGACTCTGCACAGTGGCAGTGGGACACTCACAGCAGCTTCTGCCTCTTGCTTCTTCTGCAGGACGTCACTGGCTGTACTCTCCCTTTGCTTTTCCAGTTCCCTTTCAGAGAGAAGCAGGGCACAAGTAAATCTATGGTGAGCAAACTGCGCCCTCTGCTGGACAGAGCCCAGCATGCAGCCTGCGAATTAACTGGATTTCTACTTCTAGAACTTCGAAGATACTTCCAAACACAACCCCAGGCCAGCCTTTGAGCTGCAGGCCTGTGCATCTCCCTTTAGTTTGAGATCACCGTCCCTGTCCACCTCCTCCATGGAACCTCCCAAACTGCTGTTTCCTTAGGAGAGGAGAAGACTCCAGCACGCAGAGACAATCCAGACTACTTTGGATGCACAGAAATGCCCACTCCTACAGCAAACAGGCACTCGGGGTCAGCCCACACGGCGCTGCCAGACGGAGGACATTCTTTGCTCCAGGTCTTAAACATCCATGGAAACTCAGCCCCTAGACTAGTAACAGGTCACAGGCAGCTAGAAGAGGGATACCCTGTCTCCCACTCAACCTTAGTGCCCCAGTGTCTCTGAGGCTAACACGGGGCCTCTCCATCCCTTGGGTTTCCAAGGGATGCTTGGACTCAGTTTTGACTGAGGGGAGGGGCTCCCTACAAGAAATTTCAAAGCTAGGTCTGTTCTGTGGTTTCCATGACTACAGTTAGTGTCACACAAAACAGACCCATTCTACTTCAAGTTCAGCACCAGGGTGAGATGTCTAGGATACAAGAGAGGGAGACAGCATTTGTGCTGGCCCTGTTTGAAGCCCATTTTATAAAGCAAACCGAGTCATTTCTGAGGGTGGAAGAGACTGGCTAGAAGGGAGCAACCTGCGGCTGCCGCTGCCAACAGTGACGAGGACCATCAGGACCTGGACACCACGCTTGTACTTCCCCAGCATTAACCTGTCCTCTTTTTCTAGGGGACACAGTCAGCTCTCCAGTTTAGAGAAGAAAAGACCGAGGTGGAGGTTCTTAGTGCGAAACTCACTTCTCTTTCTGAGCCCTGAGGTATGGTTTGATGATCAAACGGTGCATTGCCAAGTAGATCACCAGTGGCCCCACGGTGGCGTAGAAGACAGCACTGGGGAGCAGCTGGTCCGTCAGGTGGATCGGGAAGAAGTAGGTCTGACTGGCCCTGTTCAGCCTGCAGGAAACACAAGGACACACACAGGGTGTGTCAGGTCCCATGGAGCAGCAGTGGGGCTCAGCCACTGCACGCCAGCTCCAAAGCTGAGCTGATTACCAGTGAACTTGACCACATATGAAGACTAGGACTAGGGACTGACTGGAGAGATGGCTTATGGCTATGAGCACTGGTTGCTCTTCCAGAGGACCCAAATTAGCTCCCCAGCACCCCACAGTGGATAAGCCCACAGCTGCCTATAACTCCAGTTCCTGAGTTATATGTAGATAACTATGCAGATGCCCACTGTTAGCCTCCAAGGGCATCTGCATACTTATCTACATATAAACAGACATTCACACATAAGACACAAAAATCTTTTTTTTTTTTTTTTTTTTTAAAAAGAAGACAGGGTTTCTCTGAAGCTTTGGAGCTTCTCCTGGAACTAGCTCTATAGACCAGGCTGGCCTTGAACTCAGAGATCTGCCTGCCTCTGCCTCCTGAGTGCTGGGGCTAAAGGCATGCGCCACCACTACCCGGCTAAGACACAAAAATAATAACTAACTAACTAAATAACAGGGGCTTTATTCATGCTTTGAGATGAGGGGCAGGGAGGTGGTCGCCCAGACTGTCCCTGAACTACTAGGATCAAGTGATCCTCTTGCTCCAGTCCCCTTAGTCGGTGCCACTGGGCTGGGCATCAGATTAGTGTTTATTGTATCTTTTTAAAAAGATTTATTTATTCATTCAGTTATTTATTATGTACAGTGTTCTGTCTGTATATATGTCTGCAGGACAGAAGAGGGCACCAGATCTTCTTATAGATGGTTGTGAGCCACCATGTGGTTGCTGGGAATTGAACCCAGAACCTCTGGAATAGCAGCCAGTGCTCTTAACCTCTGAGCCATCTCTCCAGCACGTGTTTATTATATCTTAAAGCAAAGTGCTGTAGAATATTCTTTTGTACACTGTGAAGAAGTGGCACTCGGATTGGTTTAATACAAAGCTGACCGGCCAATAGGTAGGCAGGATTTCCAGGCAGAGAGGGTGCTGGGAGGAAGGTGGAGACACCAGGAGACTCGGAGGAAGCAGCATGGGCGGTACAGAGTAAAGGTAACTGAGCAACGTAAAAGAAATGGGTTACGAGATAACCAGCCACGTAGATTAAAAAGTATGAGTTAAGTTATAAGAGCTGGTTAGAAACAAGCCTTAGCTATCAGCCGAGCATTTAGTTTCTGTGAGCTGGCAGTACAGAGACTCGCTACAACAAACACACGGAAGTTCTGACAGCAGCGGACAGGTGAGCATGAGCACAGGGCACGGGCATGTTTCCCACTGCATGATGGCTGCCTTGGCGGAACCCAGGACCTTGCTAAGCACACACTGCCCCATTCAGCTACCCACTTAGGTATGTATGCAAGAATGCATTTGTTTAAGACAAGATTTCCCTATGCAGCTCAGGCTACCCTGGCGCTACATAGCCCAGGCTAGCCTTAAATTTGTAGCAATACTCCCACCTCCGCTGGTATTATAGGCACAAGACACCACTCTTGGCCCAAGCAGTATTCATCTTTCCTTTCTTTCCTCTCTCCATATTCCTCAAGCAATACATTGATTTGTATTTTTTTTTAAAGATTTATTTATGTATTATGTATACAGTGTTCTGTCTGCATGTATGCCTACAGACCAGAAGAGAGCACCAGATCTCATTATAGATGGCTGTAGTTGCTAGGAACTGAACTCAGGACCTCTGGAAGAGCAGTCAGTGCGCTTAACCACTGAGCCATCTCTCCAGCCCTGTATTCCACCCCCCCCTGTATTTTTTTTTTTTTTTAGATTGTGTGTTCGTGGCTAGAACTCGCTATGCATCTGCCCCTGCCTCCTGAGGATGGGATTACAAGCGCACACACACATACACAGACACACACACAAAGCACAGGCATGCGCTAGCTACAGTGCACAATTAAGCAATACACTCCTAGTGAACTGGATAATGAAAATACAACATCAGCTTCGTAAGATGCAGTAGACTGACTATAAAGGGGCTTCAGTGTTGTAAGATGTTATTAGAAAGGACCCAAGCCTGGCGCACCTTTAAGTCCAGCAGTGGGGATGCAGAGGCACTCGGATCTTTATGACTGAGGTCAGCACTATCTATCTAGTGAGACCATGTCTTTAAAAACAAAAGACAGAAAGGATACAAATTACCAAAAGGGTAACTACAGGAGGACAGGCAGGTGAAGGCACAAAGGAATGCTAAGAAATTTCACTCCAAGATGAAAGAGCCACAATCCTTGAAACACGGTTTACAAAATAGCGAAGTTGTCAGGTGAACTAGGAATATTTTAAAGCTCTATGTTCGCGAAAGAACTGAACTCACTTCCCCAAGACTCCTCTTTACGTACAAATATGTCAAGGATAAGGGACGTCCAACCAGCACAAAAATTCAGTTCGAAGCAGTCAGAGCAGCAGCTTAGTAGTTAAGACCATATCTGCAGGCCTGCAGCTGCCCAGAGCCCCAGCTCCAGGGGATCTGACTCCTTGGGCCCCTCAGAGCACTTGCACTCATGTGGACAGACCCACACACATATTAAAATAATAAATCATTTTTTAAAATTTTTATTCATTTATTTTATGTATGAGTGTTCTGTCTGCATGTACATCTGCAGGCCAGAAGAGGGCACCAGATCTCATTACAGATGCCTGTGAGCCACCATGTGGTACTGGGAATTGAACTAGGACCTCTGGCAGAGCAGCCAGTGCTTTTAACTGCTGAGACATCTCTCTAGCCCTAAAAATAATAAATCCCATAAAAATTTAGTTTGGACAGTTTAATACTGTCACAGAAAATACAGGTGAAAGGTGACACCGTCCCCAGAAGCCAACCGAAAGTAAGTCATCATCATAGTGCTGAGAGAGTCCAGCGGGGCACGGTGCCCTCACCAGCGCTCTCACTCCAGGTAAGAGAGGGTCAGCATGCAGATGAGCACTGGGGCCCAGGAAGTCCCAGCTCAGAGTGTAACACGGTAGTGTGTCTGCAGAAACCAGTATTATATAAAAAAAATCATTTGATTCACGTGCACAAATGTTTGCCTGCACGCATGACTGCATCATATGCATGCAGTTCCTGCAGAGGTCAGAAGGGGGCGCTTGATGCATTGGAACTCACAGAATTTCGGCCTCTTGGTGGACACATGTGCATACAACCTCAAGTGTCATTCCTAAGCAGTTGTTCACACCTTTCTTTCCTTAGACAAGATCTTTCATTGACTTCTGGTCCTGTTGAACACGAATGCCACATCAACAGCTGCCATACTGCACTGTCTGTGACCTTTTCTCCATTATTGCTGATTCTGGTGGCTCAAATCCATACATGTGATATCCATGGATACAGAGGGGCACCATGCATATAAGCTAGAGATTTAGGAAGCAGGCCAAGATGGGCCCTTGAGGCAAGGACACTGGAAACACAGTACAGCCATCCCTTGGGAGTTCAGAACTCCATCCAGATACAAAACCGGTACTAAACACACAGGCCAGACTGGGCCACTGTGGAAGTCTGCACAGACAAGGACTGCACCCCACAGAGCCACCACTGGGAGGCAGGAACAAAAGCAGGGCTCTAGCCTGCTGTCCAAGAATCCCGGCACAGAGACGTGTAGGGAGGAAGGAGAGGCAGAAGAGGACGGACAGCTGCCCTCTGCTGGGAAGGATGATGCCCAGGTGGTTGAAGGAGGCCCAACTGCAGTGCAACAGAAAAGTGAGCAAACCCAGAAGCTAGAAGTGTCCATGTCTGAAATCTCAATACTAAGGTAACTGAAACAAGAGGATCCCAAGTTTGAGTTCCAAGACAGCCTTGGCTATGTGAGACCATATCGCAAACAAAACATCAAAAACCCAAACAAACTCAGACAGCACGACTGAGGAACTGGGCAGTGCAGAGGAAAGGGTGCACGTTCTTATGCTACAGACAAGGAAGAATCTGATGCTGCAGACGCCTGTGGTGGCCCTGGGTGTGGACGTGGTCACTGGACAGGCCTGGTGAAGTGTGAGGGAGGAGAGCCTAGGCCTCTCCCAATTCACTACTGGGTTATGCCCCTTGACCTCTGCTCATGCGGCTCAGAAGCAAAGGCACACTGAGGAATTAACCCTCATCCCCGCTGAGCAAGGGTCAGGCTCAACTTACTTGACTTTGAGAGACACACCCTGCGGAACACCAATGCTCACAGCAGCACCCAAGACGCTGTGTCGGGAGATCTTCCTCTCAGCTCCATACTCCACTATTGTCCCAAAGAAGCCTGCCCTGGGGGGTAGAGCACAGCTGCAGGCACGTTTCCCTCCTGCCCTCCCGTCCACACAGGAGCTGCTAGGAACAGAGCTGTGTCTCCCTCCCGTCCCCCACCCATCACCCATGGGAGCCAATGCCAGGATGGGGCAATCAGGGAACATCACAGGAGTGATGACGATACACAGGTGCCCACCACAGCACTGGGTCACCTCGCTGCCAGCAAAGCTCAGACTTACTTGAGGGACCCTTTCACCCGGGTCTGGTCATCGTCCTGGAACTTGTGCTGATAGCTGATCAGTGCAAATGAGTGCGGGATCCCCAGCTGAGGGAGGGAAGTGCAAGGAGGCCAGGTAAGCCTTACCATTCTGGATGATGACGCCAGCTGCCCACAGCTGCTGGGCACCTGGCCAAGGGAGCTTCATCAGGGCAGGTGTGTAAATGTTTACCAGCAGCCAGTACAGCCGCTATTGTGTAATGACATGCTGAGAAATGACAGTGATCTGCCATTGTGTGAATCTCACCACTGGGGGACATGGTCTCACCATGAAATCTACCGACAGCACACAACTGTAAGAGAACTGATTTCTAATGAAAATGCAGTTTACTGGCCTCTCATGAGAACACAAACCTCTCGTAACCCTGAGTTAGGACGAGGAACCCAGGACCTGCTTCCCACCAGCTTCTCTCTCTGCCCGGCCACAGGACTCAAGAGCACCATTTTGACAGGACGTGAAACTGTTACTTCCTGTCAGATGATCTGAACACAGCCACTTGGGAACATCCTCCTTCCTCACTAGAGGCCACAGTCACTGCTGCGTGAACCCAGAACTGCCCCACAGGGTATAGAGTTATACTGAGACACCTGCCTCAAGATGCATCTTCAATAGACTGCAGCTCCACTACCCACCTGCAAGGCCACAGTGAAGTGGCAAGTCTTGGTGTCCCGGACGATGCTTGTATTCATGGCTGACTGGATGCCCCATCGCCACTGCAGGTAGCCCACGGTGTTCTTGTCCAGGTTCCGAGCTAGGACAGTGGTAAGGCCAGGCCGGATCCCACGGGATGAAAACTGCAGAGCACAGTTTGTCGTCACAAAGCTGGGGGTGGGGGACACAGACAGAAAGGGTCCAGCTGACACAGACGCTCAGCTGCAGAGCAAGGAGAGAGGAGAAGCCTGTCTTTTCAGGATCCTCCTTGGCGGCTCCACCTCCCACCATCCACTCTGTCAGAGCACTACATGCTGTGTTTGGAGCCACCGGAAGGCAGTTCTGGTGACACTCTCAACACAGTGGCTCAGGACAGTGCTCCCCGAACTCTGCTCAATGCTGAAGTCACCTGGCTGATGTGCAGCCACCAATAGTGGCTCCTCTGTCAGGCATTCTGGTTTCTTCAGCACGGGCTTGGAGCATGAGCAGTCTCCAAGCGATATCAACTCATCACAAAGAGTAGCACCACCTACCGCAGGTATGTGCCATACAAGTCAAAGTCCTGGGTGGATCCCCAGCATGTGCATATGCATATACATACACAGATACGCACACACTAAAGAGATCTTATTTTCTGTGTTTTTGTCTACATTCAGGTATGTGTGCCCTGTGTATGCCTGTCAGATCCCCTGAAACTGTGGTTGCAGATGCTTGGGAGCTGATATGTAGGTGTCAGGAATCAAATCCAGGTCTTCCACAAGAGCAATAAGTGCTCTTAAATGCTGCAGAGATGGCTTATTGATTTTAAAAACCTGCCCAGGGATCCTGTTGAAAATCAGCTTTCCAGGAAGGACTCTGAAGTCAGCTTGCAGGGTGCAGGCTGACAAACAACTGGTGTCTGGCGCACAGCCCGACACCCACCGCTTGCTGTCAAGCCATCTCTTTCTTGACTTTCTAGGCTCTAGAGATAACACTGTGACATTAAGGTAACCATGACACACTTGACACATTTTTTTCCCCCTGAGACATGGTTTCTCTGTGTAGTCCTGACTGTCCTGGAACTCTTAAAGGCATGTACCACCACCACCACCCAGCAAACACACTTTTAACCAGGGCTACTTTATACTCCCAGTATAATACTTTATACTCCCCCAGCAAAATGGCTAAAAAGAGCCTATTTCTTGGTTTCCACGAGACCCGGCCATGCTAGAAAAAGGCTGCATTTTCCTGCTTCCCCACAGGAGCCAGGGGAGCCAGCAGGGAGAATGTCATCGGTAGAGTTCCAAGAGAAAGCTAGAGAAGCCGAAAGAAGACAGGGATGAGATACCAGGTTCTGTCCCAAAGGGAGGAAAACTGCAACCAGCGAGGCAGGCAGTGGACAGAGATCGAGACCATTGCACAGGGCTGTCTGCTTTGGGGGCCAAGGTCTCACATAGGCCAGAGGTTGGCCTCGATGAGCTACACAGCACAGGGCAGGTTTGAACTCCTGATCCTCCTGTTCCTACCCCTCAGACAATGGGATTACAGGCATTTACAACCATGCTTGCCTTTCCTATTTTCTTTTGGAGACAGAGTCTTACTATATTGTCCACACCAGCCTCAAATTTGTAACACTTCTGCACCAGCCTCCAGAGCAGTGGGGATCAGAGGCTCATACCACTAAGCCTGGCTTCCCCCAGCAGCTTTGTTTGTTCTGACACAAAGTCTTCTGTATCCTAGGATGACCTCAAACTCTCCACATGAGGATGACTCTCAACTTCTGATCTCCCGGCCTCTACCTATCCCCGCAGAGTTAGCAATATTATGTTAAGGTGTGCGACTTTTGTTCATGTTGCATTTGCTTAACGCTGTGAAGCTGTGATTCTTTGCCCGTCTAGAACATCTGATGGTGTAATCAAGATCTGAATGGCCAATAGCAAGGCAGGAGAAAGGACAGGTGTGGCTGGCAGGCAGAGAATATAGGAGAGAGAAGTAGCCAGAGGAGGAGGACATCATGGGCGAGCAAGCCACAGTAAGAGTCCAAGTAAAGATCTACAGAAGAGACCAGGAAAAGCACAGGGGCAAAAGGTAGACGGAATAACAGAAGTTAAAAAAAGTTGGCAAGAAACAAGTCAAGCTAAGGCTGGACATTGCTAACTAAGCCTCCATGTGATTTATTTGGGAACTGGGTGGTCCCCCCCCCCCCCGAAAAGCCAAAAGAGTAAAAAACATCTTCCTACTGCCCTGCGTCACTACACACCTGGCTCTGTGCAGCAACTTTAGGGCTGAGCTTGGCCATGGAGGAGGGAGCCCTGGAGGGAGACATGGCTGATCTGAATAGTGTACTAGAGGACAGACTAGCTCTGGCTGGCTTGGAACTCGGAATGCAGACTAGGCTGGCCTCAAACTCAGAGACCCATCTGCTTCTGCTTCCCAAGTGCTGGGGTTAAAGTTGTGCGCCACCACATCTGCCTCCCTGACCTGATTACAGATTGATGTGACCGGTCCCCTCAAGGTTCCGCTGCTGTGATTCCCTCCTAGAATGAATTATCCCCTGGAACTGTCTCCCTCCCCTAAGTTGCTCTCAGCAGGGTATTCCGTGTTACACTAGCTGGGAAGCAAACTAGGAACGAAGCCTGGAGTCATCACTGTAGCTGCAGAGGCTGTAAAACTCAGGTGTGGCCAAGTCTGTCCAACCACCAGGTAGTCCCACAGACAGATTCTGTTTCCTGGTCCTCACGGGACTGTAGGGTAAAGGGTCCCATGTTAGAAAGCTTCTCAGTGCAGAAGGAAGCCTGGTGGGCCAGGCCTGCTTTCCCATGCAGAGCTCTTTCAGCTTGCAGGCTGCCCCAGCACTTGTCCAACTGAGCCCACACAGCACCAGTAACTTCAAATGTCCACAATCAGAAGACGTCACAGGCTCTAAGACAAGTTAGCACAGATCACCAAAAAGGAGTTATCTTGTATATTTACCATCTTGGTGTGAGATTACGGAACAGCTTGAGACCAAATAAAGGCCCCTGGAGATCTCCAGCTCCAAACTCCAACTGTTTGGAAAAATAAACAGAGAAAGCATTACTGGTGTTCTTTCTACAACAGCAACCCAGGGCTCAGCATGAACCTGGCCAGGCTCCCAACAGAGGACCGGCAGATTCCTAACACCTCGGTATCATCTCTGCCCCAGACTGTAGACAATTACTCCGCCAAAAATGTCAGTCCTGACCTCCCTTGGCTCAAGTCAGAAGGGAAGGAGACTGGTAGTCCACACCCCTCCCCACCATGGTGCCACCTGCCGCATCTCCTGGGTGACAGATGGGAGGGACATGGGCCCCATGGAGAGGTACATCAGTCCTTCCGGCACTCTCCTGATTGCCTCACTGACTGCCAGCCCAGGCGACTTTCAACCAACAGCCCCTTCAGGCAGTGAAGGTTAGCTTGTCATGTGACTAGTCAATAAAGGGACCGACCATGTATGGACACCAGAATCCAGTGGGTCTTACCTCTCCCCATCCCTTTGCAGAAGTGACCCGCCGGAGTGCAAAGTTAATGGAACCGCCACCATTGCCATTCTGGGTGGAGAGACTTCCGGAGAGGATGGCTGTGTCTGTAGCTGTCAAGGGTGCCTAAGGGAAGATAGCCACGGGTAGCAAGCAAACAGAGGCAATGGGGACACAGGTCACCTGGCATTTGAGGACAGAGACAGGAGGCCTCCCAACCGCTCTGCTCTCCTAATTTATATCAATGGCATGGGGCCCACGAAAGCAGTAGTTTATTTATTTATTTATTTTTACGAGGATCTCACTATAGCCCTGGCTGTGGGGCTGCACAGATGAGTTAGCCTCCTTGTGGAATGAGATGCTCCTGTCTCTGCCTCCTGAGCGCTGGCAGGTGCCACGACATGCAGCCATATGCATTGATGTTATGTATGTGGCACTGGGAATCCAGTCCACGGCCTGTGATTATCAGCAGACACTCGCCTTACTGAGTTACTTCTTGAGCTGCACAAATTCAAGAGAAGAATCCCCAAAACCCACAGAGAGTGGCAGAACACCAGGTCTAGTGTGCCATGGCAGGAGCTACATGGAGACCCCGACCCTGTGCTTTCCCACAATGTGTTGTCTGGGCTTTCTACTCCCAGCCTGCCACCAGGGTTCTGGCTGTATTAAGGGCTCTTCAAGAACAGCAAGTTTCTTAGCATCAACTCCACGGGGCAGGCTCATGCACTTGATAATAAAATGAAGATGCTGTGTAGGCAGAGACCCTGGTGTCCTAAATAGAATGGCCTGCCCCTACTGCATCTAGGGACAAAAGGGTGGTGTTCGAATTCCCTGGCTCAGGACCAGAGCTATGTCTTCCACATAGTCAAGTATTTAGAACCTAGACTAGCTCTGAGCATCATCTGCCAGCAGGGCGGCCTTCCTTCCTAAAATGACTACGACCCTGGGCATCTATGCTTACCCCATTAGCACTCCTAACTGGCAAGACCCGGGACCTTGGGAGTTAAGTGCCAACACTCAGCTGCCTTGTGTGTGGGGGCAACGCAGTAACAAACAAGGCCAAATGGAGCATGCTCACATGTCCTCTCACCCTCCCTTCCCCACCTCAGTGGCTAATTGCAGCCTTTCATAAATAACGATGAGAAACCCCAAGCCGATTCCCATCCAGCTGCTCCGGCACTGTGCCTCATTAACTCAGGCCCAGGCTGTACTTGGAGAGGTGTCTGTGCTTTACCTCAATGGACTGGGATATGTGCATTTTATTAATCTCAATCTGCGGAAAGCCACTTCCGGACACATCTTCATATTCTTCATCATAGCGATCAAAAAGGTCAGTGGCATCGACTCCAACGCTGATGGTTCCCTGGGGCAGAAAAACACGCAGTCAGCACGAAGTGCCGGTGTTTGTGGAATGAAAACATTGAGTGGAGTGCTTAGGCATCTGACTTCATGGATGGACAGTGCTCCACGAAGTCTGTGAAGCATGAATGTCACAGTTCAAATAAAAAGCTGCGGAATGCCTTGGAATGTTAGAGCCAGCAAACACCAGCTCTATGGAAGAGCCGGCCTGTACACACCTGCAGAGGGACAAGACATGGGAGAGAGAGAGCCAATGACCTGAGCATGCAGGGATCACACAGGTCCCTGGCGACATCACCCAGACACCGGCCGGTCACATGGACTAAGCACCTTTACTTCAAGACCACCTCTCAATTCTACGAGATCTAAGGGCGCCCTCCAGACCAGGAAGCAGGTACACAATGTACACACATAGTATTTGTACACGGGGTGTTTACACACCTTTCCGCCTTTGAAAACTAAAGACAGCAACAGAAGACAGCATGTTCCAAGAAATACTAAGTTAAAATTTTGTTGACTGGTTGTCTTAGTTCGGGTTACTAATAGCTGTGAGGACATCACGACCAAAAACAAGATGAGGAGGAAAGGGTTTACTTGGCTTACACTTCCGTACCATAGTCACTGAAGGAAGTCAGGACAGGAACTCAAACAAGGTGGGGGCCTGGAGGCAGAAGCTGATGCAGAGGTCATGGTCATGTTTACTGGTTTGCTCAGCCAGGATCACCAGTCCAGAGATGCCCCCTCCCACAACAATCACTAATTAAGAAAATACTCTACAAGCTTGTGTACAGCCCCGTCTTAAGGAGGCATTTTCTTAATCGGGGCTCCCCCCTCTCAGATATCTCTAGCCTGTCGAGGTAACATAAAATTAACTGCCAAAACCCTTCACAGAAAGACAAACAACATTTATCATTTTCTTTCAAAGTTCTAAGACTTTTCTCATGGGTCTATCTTAACCCAGCATGTAAGACTTTTCTCATGGGTCTATTTTAACCCAGCATGTGTGCACACACTAAACACACATACAAAACCACACACATTTTTATTAATTTCTCTTCAGTCTATTTATTATTTCTCAAGATACTCACTTTGTGGCCCAGCTGACATAAATTCACTATGCACACTGGCACTGAACTGGAAGCAATGCTCCTGCCTCTCAGGTGCTAGCATTCCAGGATACACCGACGGACCAGCCTGACCCCATTTTAAGATTAAAAGCCATCTTGCTACAAGGTCAAAATAAGTTCATTCCTGTTTTCTGTAAAACTTGGGCTTGACTATGTCTTAACACATTTTCTGGGGCTGGAGAGATGGCTCAGTGGTTAGGAGCATTGCCTGCTCTTCCAAAGATCCTGAGTTCAAAAAAAAAAAAAAAAGATCCTGAGTTTAATTCCCAGCAACCATATGGTGGCTCACAACCATCTATAATGAGATCTGGTGCCCTCTTCTGGCCTGCAGACATACAGACAGAATATTGTGTACATAATAAATAAATATTTAAAAAAACACATTTTCTGGAATTTGACACGTTCTATACCCTATATCCTAACCTTCACCCTGATAAGATGTTTTCCCAAATAATTCTGAAATGTTTAGCCAAGTTCCTACATAACCAAAATTCCTCTGGAAATACCCCAACCCTTGAAACCACCCTAGTCTCGCAGTTTTTTGGGATATATAAACATCACCTTTCCCTGTTTTCGATGCTATTTTCTCAAACCCTGCTTTGGGGAGTTGGCCCTGTCTGACAGAAAATAACACTTGCAAAATTTGACCAAAGAATTGGGGTAATGTCTCTACTCTCATTTGGGATTAACAAGCCGCCACTCCAGCTGCACAACCGGCTTCCTGCAGGGTGCAACCAAGGTCGAGGATGACCTTGAACTCCTGAGCCACCTGCCTCCACCACTAGGGTTGGGATTTCGGGTGTGCTACCCGATTACTCAGGGTTCTGACAGATAAACACATTCTTTAAACTACTAACAAGTAACGCAGTGTCTCCAGGAAGGGGAGGTGCGAGCACAGATTTATGACAGACACGAGTGATGTCCTCAGGGCACCTAGTGGAGGGGCCCGAGCACAGGCGCTGGGAGGCTAAGGCAAAAGTAGCATCTGAGCCCTGAGGTCAAGAGAGCTTAGGTAACATGGTGAGCACTGGCTCCCCGAAAAAATGTTCGTCCTTAGTTTTGTGCTTTGAAAGTGGGGCCTAGTCAGAGACTCCCCTCTCATCTTGGCTACAAGGTGAAGGTCTGCTTCACACAGCTGCCAGGATGTGCTGCTACAGGCCCCCAGAGCAGGTTCCACAGCCAACCCTGGATGAACAAATCTGTCCTCTGCTTGCCATATAGCCCTGGCTGGCCTATGACCTGAATGGCAGACAGGCAGCCTCAGAGGGTTTGCCATGTGAAGTTTGTCTAGGACCATACCAACTTCACCGTGTTTTTGTTGGCTTAGCCATTAGCCAAGACATCCTAACAACGTATCACCAGCAGCAACAGTTGCTTTGAATAAGATGCAGTGGGGGCTGGCGAGATGGCCTAGTGTGTAATGGCTGTACTTGCTGCCAGACCTAACTCTCTGAGTTCCATCTCCGGAATCCACATGCCAGAAGGAAAGAACCAACTGGCACAAATTATCCTGATTTCCACACGCATGCACCACACCCAGAAGAGTGGGTGTGACAGGTCACACTCACCTCTCCCCCAGTGGACTCTGTCCCTGTTTCTCACATCTAACATGCAGGCAGTAGAAATGCCGAGCAAGGTCCCCACTCTTCCCCTAGTCACACGGTCTTGGCATTAGAAGGTGTTCATTTATTTGCGTGTGCCCGTGCATATGTACACACCTGGCCTGGGCATATGAAGAAGCCAGGAGAGAATATCAGGTGTCCTCCTCCATTCCTCTCTACTTACTCCTTTGAGGCAGGGTCTCTCCCTAAGCCTAGGACTGGGGCCCAGCAAACCTCAGTGACCCTCTTGTTCTCAACAGAGTTGGGGTTACAGGCATGGCATGTTCATGCCCAGCTTGTCATGAGTGCTGGAATCCAGTCCTCACGGTTTCGAAGTAGCGCTCTTCTTAACCCAAGCTCCTCCCATCTAGCTCAAGATGAAATGGAACAGCATGTTCTTGCCTCAGATGGCCCATGTGGTGATGGCTGACAAAATTGCTTGGTACAGCTAACTCCTTCTAGGCTCAGTGGATGATGGGCAGCCTTAGATGTGCCTCTGGGTGGCAGATGGCCAGGAGTTGTCACAATCAGTCAGTGATGGGGAGGTGTGGCAGCTGGGAGAGGAGGTGGGCTTGCTCTGCTGAGGACCTACCGCAGCATTTCGGTCATCTGCTGAAGGATGCCCCCAGGGCTGGCATTGTCTGTGAAGGGCTAGAGTACATAATATTTTTGTGGTTTCGGCCATCTGGCTGCTGTCTGCAGTGTTCCATTCTATGACAGCAACCAATTACTGTGCTGTGCTCCAAGAAAATTCCATCCACGAACCCTGCAACCTGAATAATTCGTAATGTCACTAAGCATCAGTTGTTTTTTTTTTTTTTTTTTTTTTGGATATTTTTCTGTCAGTTTCTTACCTCACGGTCATCAGAAATAAATAAAAGGCATTGGCTGTTCCCGAGAAATGGACGAGCTGTTACCATTATACTTGTCATGATACCCTTTTCAATGACGAAATCAAACCGTGTTTGCTTGGTGCCATCTGGATTTGCCCTCCAGAGTGTAACTGCACAGGGGACCACTGTGTTAGTACTTGAGCGGTCAGGTGGTCTCCTTCCTCACTGACCCTGACAGCCAAGGGCTCAGGAAGTGTAACAAAGGGACGGTCTCCGGGAACTACGAGCTGTGCCTGTGCAAACCAAGGCTCTTGTAACCTTCCCTCCACAGGCTCTCATGCTTGTCCCCAGCCACAGCTCTGCTGAGCAGCACAGCCGTCACCCTCCAGGAAAAGACCGCTCTGAGATAAGCCACAAGTTTTTGCCCCACCCAGTTTTACGTTGTCAGCTGAAAAACACTGAATTATTTTCCACCTGGCCTCCCCAGTCCCTTTCCAGGTGGCACTGGCTACCTTGGGGTTGGTTCGCTGCTGCAGTCTCCGCTCTTCCCGCTCTCTCTGGAGCCTCTCAAACTCCTCTCTGATCTCGGCTGGAGTTCTCTTTCTCTCCACCACCTGTGAGCAGAATGGAGGGAGAGAGATGAGGCTCAGGACACCCCCAGAGCCGACTTTTGCTTGACACGCACAGGATAGCCGATAGCCAGGGGCCAGCAGGGCAAACCCTGGGCTCTAAAGATACTGAAGGAGTTGCACAGAGCGGCCTACCAACCTTGTGAGAAAAGCAAGGCTCTGCTGGCCTCTGGGCTCCCCCAAAACTGACATTCTTTATCTTAGTAACCCCTCAGAGGCACAGGAACCTTATAAAGAGATCCTACAGTTAGTTCTACTGAGAAATCAACTGTCAATGCAGTACACTTGGAATTCTAAACTTGGGACCTCTAGTCATGTGAGGGATGGGGCTTGTCCTCTACGACACGAGGCGCAGTTCTGAGCTGCCAGTGGCGCTGTGGTCTCAGGTCCAACAACACTGGAGGACCTAACAACAGATGACATGAAAGTCACCGGCACACCATGAGATCAAGTCTGGACAAGCCAGGACACTCTAGCACGGCCTTGCTTAGTCTCAGTGTACGTGACAGGAAGGTGATGCAGCTGACATTTCACAGAGGCGGAGCTTCATGGAAAGGGCGAGGCCACTGTGGACATCAGGTACCTCACCTCTGCGGCCACTGTACCACGATGACCAAGTGCACAATCCTAAGCCCTCATGAGAAACGCAGAGCCTGGGAGCACAACGGAGCCCGGTGCTGGGTCTCAGCCTGGAATGCGCTGCGGTGAAAACAACCTGGGTCCTTCTCCTCATGCCCACACTCTACACAAGTCCTGCACACGGCTGGTTATGGAGTCAGAACCAATTGCCAAATTAAAATGGCTGGTCCCTCCACAATGCTGATGACGCTTCCTGGGTGCAGAGACCTCCCTCTTGGCAGTCATAAGCCTCCGCCATCAGGGCTTTACCTGGCACTAATCGAGTACAGGAAGCTGGGGTGGTCCCGTGAGGGCAGTCCCGGCTGTGGGCACTACAACTTTTGCTATGTGCTGGATAACCCCTGTCCTGAGCCCCCACAGAAGCCTAGTTCACCTGGGCCAGTAGGAAGACCGACCCCATCACAGAAGCGCTGTGGGATAATCTTTGTGTATACTGTGACTGTATCGGATTGGTATAATAAAAAGCTGAACAGCCAATCACTAGGCAGAATTTTCAAGGCAGAGAGGATGCTGGGAAAACAAGGGCAGAGAAGCCAGCCAGATAGAGAACGAGTTGAACACACACAATGGGACAGAGGTAAAAGTCACTTGGTAGAATGTAGATTAATAAATATGGGTTAAGCTATGAGAGCTAGTTACAGCCGGGCAGTAGTGGTGCACACAACTTTAATCCCAGCACGTGGGAGGCAGAGGCAGGTGGATTTCAGTGAGTTTGAGGGCAGCCTGGTCTACAAAGCAAGTTCCGGGATAGTCAGGGCTACACAGAGAAACTCTATCTTGAAAAACCAAACAAAACAAACAAGAGCTAGTTAGAAACAAGCCTGAGATATTGGCCGATCTTTCATAGTTAATAAAAAGTCTCTGTGTGGTTATTTGGGAGCTGGCTGGCAGGATAGAAAAAGTCCAACTACAGGGAAGAATGGGTCAGGTGGGGGTGGGCAGTTCACCTTCAGGGAGAATGTCCACAGCTACAGTCCCTAGGCATTGTTGGGTCTAAAAAGTCTAGGATCCTAAGTCAACTTTTTTAAATATTCTGAAACAAGGTCTCTCTCTAGTCCTAGCTGTCTGGATCTTATTGTGTAGACCAGGCTGGCCTCAAACTCACAGCGACTTGCCTGACTCTTGTCTCCCAAGTGCTGGGATTAAAAGCATGCACCACCACATCTTGTTTATATTAATATCTTTTTTTAAAAAAAGATTTATTTATTATGCATACGATGTTCCTCCTGCATGTACACCTCTATGCCAGAAGAGGGCACCAGACCCCATTACAGATGGTTATGAGCCATTATGTGGTTGCTGGGAATTGAACTCAGGACCTCTGGAAGAACAGCCAGTGTTCTTAACCTCTGAGCCATCTCTCCAGCCCTATTAATATCTTTTTTAAAAAAATTCTTTTTAAGGCTGGGCGGTGGTGGCGCACGCCTTTAATCCCAGCACTTGGGAGGCAGAGGCAGGCGGATCTCTGTGAGTTTGAGACCAGCCTGGTCTACAAGAGCTAGTTCCAGGACAGGCTCCAAAGCTACAGAGAAACCTTGTCTCGAAAAAAACCAAATAAATAAATAAATAAATAAAATTTAAAAAATTAAAAAAAATTTTAATTTTTAAAATTTTGTTTTATGCCGGGCAGTGGTGGCACACGCCTTTAATCCCAGCACTCGGGAGGCAGAGGCAGGCGGATCTCTGTGAGTTCAAGGCCAGCAGAGCTAGTTCCAGTTCAGGAACCAAAAAGCTACAGAGAAACCCTGTCTCAAAAATCCAAAAAATAAATAAATAAAAAATTTTGTTTTATGCATATGGGTGTTTTGCTTAAATGCATATCTGTATCACTTGTGGTGCCTGGTGCCAGGGAAGTCAGAAGTCAGCATCAAGTCCTCTGGAACTGGAGTCACAGATACCTGTGAGTCACCATGTAAGTGCTGTGGTTTGAACCTGGGTCCTCTGGCAGAACATCTCTCCAGCCCCAACGGTAGCATCTCATGTGGCCATAGACAACCGTCAAGGCTATCATAAGCACCACACGTTTCTATTGGCCAGACCTAGACTTTTCAGATTTTGTGAGCTTCCCACTAACATTTATTTCTCACATTGCCTTAGTTACCTCTGCTCTGTGACAGTTCAAGATCTCCTCTCATGATACATTTCTGCTTTTCAGAGAGTTACCCTTCTTAAGACACTCTCATAGCGGACAATGGGTAACGTACAGGGCTGCAAACTGCAGATGTATCAGGTCAAAGGATGTGCCCACGAGAGCAGTTTGCAGGCAAGTTGAATCATGTGGTTTCACTCCACCTGTCAGCCAGGATGAGTGCTGAGACCATCTAAGCGTTCAATCTGATTTTCTCAATTCTAAGGAAAAGACAAACTTCACTTTCAACGTGGGCACTGGCGTCAACACTGCCAGCCAGCTCCAGGCGCTGACATGGCGGGAATCACCAGTTGGAGGCGGTTATTGGTTACACAAAAAGTTCCAGGCCTTCTAGAGCATCATAGTGAAACCTGCCTTTAAAAGAAAGGCCCAATTTCATTCCTAACATCCTCCATTAGCCACAAGTGACATCACAGCTGAGAGCCAGGTGCTTCTGAGGCATTTCACATACTCTGGATGCACAATTACCTTCACCTTTTACCAAACAACCTAGATGTTTACTCAAGTAACAGGCTGTGACAGGTGACTTTCAGCCACCAAAGACCCGTATTCTGAAGACATCAGTAACACAATGAATGCCATGTCCTTCATGAGGAGAGAGCGCCCATGTAAACAGGAACTGCAGGCACTCCACAGATCATGGCTGAATTCAGATGCTCCACGTGCATCAGGGAGCTGGTGTCCTGCTGCATGCCGGCACTGTTAATACCCAAGGATGCTTTAATTTTTGGTTTGTTTTGGTTCTCAACCTTCCTAATGTTGCAACTCTTTAAATATAGTTCCTCATATTTAAAGACCATCATATATATATATGGTGACCCTCAACCATAACATTATTTTTGTCACTACTTCATAACTGTAATTTTGCTACTACCATAAATGTGTTTTTTGAGACAGGTTTGTTAAAGGGATCAAGGCCCACAGGTTGAGAACTGCTCTATGGAGCCAAGGCTGGCTTGGAACTCACTGTGTGCCCCAGGCTGTCCTGCCTCACAAGAGCTGGGATTACTCCCACGAGCCATCATTCCTGGCTGGCTTACCTTGCGGACTTACTGGGAAATTTGTTTCATTAAAGCAGTTTGCTGAAGCTATGCACGCAAAGTTGACCACTCACCATCTGTGACTGGCTGCCTCCTGCATAAGAGCAGCCAAGTCTGGCTTTGTGGCACACTAGCGGGAGACACTCTGCTTTGGTGGGAGGATCCCACCATGCCAGGTGTGCCCAAACACTGCCAGGAACCAAACCCTCATCTGTGATGAGAGCCCCATAGTCAGCAGCCCTGACTACAGCCCTCAGCTCTGGGAACTAATCCAGGGGGCACACAGAGTCTGAAAAGAGTCTAGATGACTGTTTTCCATCTGGGTAAAAGGTACAAATTGCAATGAACTACTGAGATTTCCAGGAAGCTAGAGGCCTAAAACAAACACCTATGGGAGCCAGGCAGGACACATAGAGCCTGCTGCAGACAATGGCCCGATGACAGTATGGAGTGGAGGGGACGGGACAAAGTGTGAACACAGCCTAGTTCAAAGGGCAGGGCTTCCTCAGAGCTGGCAGCTACCTCATGAAGGGACTCAGGTCCAGTGTTGCTATTCTGGCGCTTCAGACAACTGTTGGATATTCACACAAACCCCCAGACAGTCCACCATGCCGCACCCATCAGGGCATGGCTACAGGTGGACGGTGACCCATAAGCCCCCAGAGCAACCAGTCAGTCCTACTTTCTTCCCATCATACCTCAAGCCTTAGACAGGCTTCATGTTGGGGTCAGAAGGGAGAGACAGAGCATGAGGTCAACAGGAAACTGGCACCATTCGCATGGCCACTAACGTCTGACAGGATCCCATGGGCACTCACACACCAGTCTCTGGGTAAGACTGGGTAAGAACACCTACACACTCTATAGCAGTTTGGGGTCTTACAATACAATTAATTTTCATGCTCACTTTTCTATAGAACTTTATTCTTCAGGTAACACAGAAACACAAAGAAGTGAATGGCTTGCCACACTTCTGCTATCACGCAGGGGTAGAGCGGGAGGTGCTCTCACAGGCCCCTAGGGGACAGCCGTGGTGCTGTGCTTCCTCCTGCTTCTAGCTCCTCAGGCTCAATGTCTCTTACCTCCCATCCTTCCATCTCCAGGCCTCTCTTCCCATATATGTCATAGATGGCCCTTGTTTGGGGATCGCTAAGCACTGCAATAAAAAGAAAAAAAAAATCAAGCATTTCACACAGAAAATTTCCCCTTCAGTCCTGAAAACCCAGTGTACAACGAGGTAAGCCTCCGCCTTCCTTTCCTTGCTAGTCTTCCTTCCCTTTTTTTTAAAAAAAAATATTTATTTTTATTTTATGCGCATTGGGCTTTTTGCCTGCATGTATGTCTGTGTGTAGGTATCAGATCTTGGAGTTACAGTTTGTGAGCTGCCATGTGGGTGCTGAGACTTGAACCTGGGTCCTTAGGAAGAGCAGTCGGTACTCTTAACCGCTGAGCCATCTTTCTAGCCCTTAGGAGTATCTTTTTTCTGCTGCATTCTTCCTGACGCTTTCTCCTTTCAATGGAGGGTGTTTAAAAGCTACAGATGGGAAAAGCTGGGCTTCCACAGGGTCCAGCCCACTCTGGCAGTTCGGAAGGATGGTGCCACCGCAGACCCCTGTCTAACATGCGCCACTGGCCATCAGAATCTAATTTCTTGGTAAAAGCTGTGAGGTAAAACATGCTATCCTGCTTGCCGTGAGATCTTGCTGCCTCACACAGAGGCACATCACAGGGTCTGGAATGAGTAACTGATTTTTCCTAATCTATAAATCCTAAGAGTGACTTAACTTTCTTTCTTTCTTTTTTTGCTTTTATTTTTAAATCACTCTAATTATTTATTTATTTATTATGTATACAATATTCTGTCTATGTGTATGTCTGCAGGCCAGAAGAGGGCACCAGACCTCTTTACAGATGGTTGTGAGCCACCATGTGGTTGCTGGGAATTGAACTCAGGACCTTTGGAAGAGCAGGCAATGCTCTTAACCTCTGAACCATCTCTCCAGCCCCAATTTTTTTCTTTTTCTTTTTTTTAAAATTTATTTATTTATACAGTATCCTGCCTGTAGGCCAGAAGAGGGCACTAGATCTTATTATAGGTGATTGTGAGCCACGACGTGGTTGCTGGGAATTGAACTCAGGACCTTTGGAAGAGCAGGCAATGCTCTTAACCGCTGAGCCATCTCTCCAGCCCCTCTAATCACTTTAAAATGCCCAACTAGGTAGCGTAGAGCTCACTGGCACTAGGAAGCCAGCAATCACTCATTGCAGAGCCCCAGAGACAAACATATCCCAAGTTTTCTTCATTTATAGGTAAAGCCATAAATTTCAGATCCTGAATGACTAGGCTCTACTTCCCCACCACGCTCTACACACCAGCTTTTGTAAGCCCTTTCTTTCACCGACTGCCACAAAACCAATAAAACCACTCAGGTTAAAAAAAGGCCTCGTAGCTTCTCACAAAAAAGGGCCAAAGAAAGCAACTCTACAAGTACCAGCCCCGCCCCCGGCAGACATTGGGGACCAGCTGGAGCCGCAGCCTCTGTTCAGACCTGACCCGTCTCTTCATCTGGACTCTCATTTTCTTCTTCCTGGACACATATTGATTTCCAAAGCAAAATACGACTCTTTCAAAGGGCTCCATCAGTAGGAAGCACCTAACCAAGCACCTCTTTTATACACCTCTAAGGACTCCAGCTCTGCCTTCCACAAATCAAGTCACTTAAAAATCAAACGTCTGTGCGCATGAAGCCAAGTTCTCCACCAACCTTCATAGGCCTGGTGAACAAGGTTAAACAGCCGTTCTGCCTGTGATTTGAGCTCCGGGTCCCTGTGCTTGTCCGGATGGTAGAGCATACACAGCCTCCGGTAGGCAGCCTTCAGCTCTTCAGAAGAGGCCTAAAGAAAGAGAAATTCAATTAGAGGACATCAATGGTACTGAAACACTGTCATGATCAGAATCAGCCGTGGAACGGGACTGTCAGCCACATTCCACCGCACCTGCCCTCTGCACAGGACATAATCAAGTTATGCTTTATTTCCACAGTTAATAAAGTGATCAATTATGTACATCAATAGCAACTGTGTTTGCTGTGCCCACTGCTACCCAAGGGAAATGAGAGCGGCTGTCTCCACCCTGGCTCGCTGTGCTGAAACACCAGACCCCTACTTGCCCCCAAACCCAAGTCAGCTAAGTCCTCCCACACCAGAGAGCACAGGGAGGGAGCACAGTCACATGCTACAGGCACAGGGGACGTCAGTGATGTCAGAGATTAATATACTAATTCTCAAGAGCCAAAGACAAGGCTATAAAAGCAACACACTCCTAAATGTGGCCTCTAACTGTGAGCACGGAAAATGTTCCATTAGCTTGGAGCAACCAGGGGGTTACACAGGGAATGCTGTACACAGAAGGTGCTTCCTGACAGACCTCTGGGGACACAGGCGTGGACTGCAGGAATGAGGCCAGCAGGAACACCTTCTCCTTGGCTAGCAGCCACCAAGAATCCCTTAGGAGTACTCCGTAGCCCTGGGAACACTGTCTAGTTTTGCCAGTTGTTGGTCTCTCTCTGGGAAGACCTAGAATCAGCACCCAAGACCAATGTGGTCTATCACAAGTGAAGCTGAAGGAGCATTCCCCCCATCTTGACAAGGGAACCATCCTGTGTGATCACTGACAATATGTAAGAGGGGCCCAAGAGGTCAGCATCTAGGTGGAAATGGGTCACCAAGGATGACCATGCCCTAGCATCATGTACTGGGATGTAGGTCTTCAAGAAGCGGTCATAGGGATGGACAGCTCAGGGGTAGTGATAGAAAACCACATGACACTAGATGAGCCATCAACAACTTTTCCCTTCCAGGACTAAGCTTCTTCCTTTTTCTTTTTTCCTCCCCACTCACAAAGATGTGAAGCTGACCTGCGCTTAGCAATAATCTCAGGCATGACTTTACCCGTTTCCCACCAGCCCCACCAGGCAGGGGCTGGGGAAGTGTGCAGTGGGCACAGGGCTGGCTGGCCTGGGGCTGACCTCCCCAAAGGCCGATAAAGCAGTTACTCAGAAAAGCAGCAGCAAGATTGGAGCCTGGAGCTTGTCGGTTAGACTAGCCACAAACCCCTGCTGTTTGCTGGACAGAGACTTGGCTGTGCCACTGTTTCTCTAAATCAGAGGCTGCTCCACCAGAAGAGGGCAGGCTCTCAAGACGGAGCACCCAGCTGCCTCTGAGAACTAGGGAGATTTCTGCCCTTCTGTCTCCAATCTCTTCCTCTACCTTCTCTCTGGGGTAGCCTTGGGAACGATGCTGTTCTGTAGGTCTTAGCCCACTGCCTCCCCTCCATCTCTGGCAGGTTTTCTCTTATTTACTGGGAGGCTCTATGGTGACCTTCCATTTCAGTGGCTGAAAAGGCAGGCGTAGGAGTTCAAAGGCCTGGACCCAGGCTATGCCCCTTCCCAGGTCCGTGATTCTGGGCAAGGGAGCTCCTGTCAGCGTTGGTGTGGCTATGCACTGAGACCCCACAGGGCTCACATGGTGCCTGACTCAGCCAAAACTTACAGGAGTGGCTCTTCAGAACCCATTTCCTCCCCATGAAACCTGGGGACAAGGTTGTCCTTCAGCTATGGTGAGACACATCCCAGTTCGCTCACAGGCAAGCCTGGCAGTGCACACCATCCGACAGGAATCTCAGCTCCATTTGCAGACCTCCCCCTCCCCGTCAGCACTGGGGTGGTCGGAGCAGCACTGCTTGGCGTGGGTAACAGGCATCCACTGCCAAAGTGGACCTGCACCTCACCCGCCAACTGTGCTTAGATCTCAGGTCCCATCACTGAGCCTTCTCTTGCTTCTCCCTGCCTGGGGCTCTTTCCCAGCTGCTGCTAATCACGCAACACATTTCTTGCTGCATTAACACATTATCTGAAGGAAACCCTGGCATTTGAATTACGATAGTAGATAACAGAAGATAAAACACACATCTTTCTGATAGTTTGATGCTGTGATTCAAAAGGAGCTGTTCTTTCCTAAGTCATAGCTATACATTAGTTTCTTTCTGTGATTTTTTTATTTCTTAAAGATTATTGATGTGTATGTGTGTGTACATGTGTGTAAGGGTGGCCATGGAGGCCAGAAAAGAACATCAGATCTAGAGCTGGAGTTAAAGATGGCTGCAAGTCACCGACATGGTTGCTAGGAACTGAATTCTGCTTCTCTGAAAGAGAAGCAAGCACTCCAACTACTGAGCCATCACTCCAGCCCTATATTTATTTGGGAAAATAAAAAAGTATTAACATGTACAGTGTTTCTATATATGGTGTGTGTGAGCATGTAGGGGTCAGAGGGTGAGTATGTGGAGTCTGTTCTCTCCTTTCACCTTTATGTGGGTTCTAGGGATCAAACTCAGGCTGTCAGGCTGTGTGGCAGGTGCCATTGCCTGTCTGCTGAGCCGTCTTACCAGCTCTGTTTTCTTTAAAGTCAGGTCTTAGCATGTAGCTCAAGCGGGCCTCAACATGACCCTCATACGCATTGTCTTATTTTAGGTCCCTCAGTACTGGGAGTGTAGGTGTGAGGAACTCTGTCCGGCCTTCTTCCTGAAAACTTTAATTGCTCTTTCTCATGCCTTATAAAAGTTACCGTGTACAGGATGAAATGGATTTACGTGACTCTAGGTTAAAAGACACTTCCTGGTTACTAAAGTTAAGTCAAATGTCTGGGGAGCAGGAATCTAGTCTGCAACGCCACCTTTAATCATATTAACAAATGACTTAGAGTACTATCGATTAAGTGATGGAAATGAGAAGTTTCATTTTTAATAAATCTCACATTCAATACAGGTTAGATTAGGCCTTTCATCACAACTAATAGCTAAGGTCACTGGTTCGATATTTCATAAATGATAACCTTTCTCACTACTATTTAGCTCCTGACACCATTGTAGAAGGTAATGAGATCTCATTAAGAAGGACACCTAAACTATACATTTATCTCAAAACTTCTACAATAAAATCCAGATGTCCCAAGCTTAAAATCTGAAAGTTTTATTGCCCAGTCATCTGAAGAGAATGTTAGGTCACAAATTAAATCTCAATAGAACTTTTAATAAGATTTCTATTCCTAGGCTCTAAAGCTAAAAAGAAGAAGAAGAAGAAGAAGAAGAAGAAGAGGAGGAGGAGGAGGAGGAGGAGGAGGAGGAGGAGGAGGAGGAGGAGGAGGAGGAGGAAGAGGACGATGACGACTTCTGTTCTTGTGCGCATGTGCACAGTACCCACAGCAGCCAGAAGAGATGCAGCTCCCTTGAAGCTGGAGCTATGGGTGGTTGTGAGCTGCCAACATGGGTGCTAGGAACTAAACTTGGGGCCTCTGCAAGAGCGACAAGCGCTCTTAATTGCTGAGCCATCTGTCCAGGCCCTCAATAGATTTTAAAAGATAAATACGACACAAAGAATCATTCCTACCAGACAGCATGAAATTAGAAGCCTATTACAGGCTGGGCAGAGGTGGAGCACACCTTTAATCCCAGCATCTGGGAGGCAGAGGCAGGAAAATCTCTGAGTTTGAAGACAGTCTGGTCTATAGAGTAAGTTCCTGAACAGCCAGGGCTACACAGAGAAACCCTGTCTCAAAAAAACCAAACAAAACAAATCAACCAACCAAGCAAAAAACAACAACAAAGAAAGAAGTCTATGACAGAAGGAGACCAGAAACCCCCAAATCTGCAGCTATTAAACAACACACTGCTCAGCCATCAGGGACCAAAGAAGAAAGTGCGAGCAGGTTAAATACTTAAAACACAGAAAATAAAGCACAGCATGCCAAAACCTATAGAATGAAACAAGGCAGAGCTGTGGGGAAGTTTGTAACCATAAACCACCGCAATAAAGCCAGGAAGTAAGGCAGGACAGGTGGCTCACCAGGTTCAGATCCCAGCATTTATGTGACCCTCGCGTAGCCTCTGGGAGTGCACACAGGTCCATTCACACATGTGCACACTCACTGTACTGCCATAACTACTAACTAGCCAAAGAAGCCAGCCTTGGCAGAAGTTCAAGGCTAGCCTGGTAGACTTAACAAGCTCTACTAAGCTAGGATTATACAGACTGACAATAAGCCAGGTCTGGGCCGCAGCTCGGCAGGGCAGAACATGTCAGCACACACAGTTCTGGGCGTGGGCCCCAGCACCAAAAGTAGCAGCATCGACTACGAAATGTGTCCAGTCAGTACCCAGCTCTACCACTTATGCCGTAAGCATGTCTCCAAAGGCTCATGTGCTGGAAGCTCGGTCCCCACAGCTGATGCTAAGAGACTGGCCAGCTGCTCTAGCTCCCTGTCGTCGCCCTCACAGGCTCCACATGTTTCAATGCCCTTCGACATTATGGCTTTACCAGAGACAAGTGTAAGCGGCTGTTAAGCCTCTGCATCTTCTCAAACGTCAAGCGACAGTAACCTTTTGTTCTTTATAAAGTCCCCAACCGCAAGTATTTTGCTATGGCAGCAGAAAATAGACTAACACAAGAACTAAATAAAGAAAAAGCTTTCAAAAAATGAAATCATAAACAGACAACTACAACAACTAGAAAGGAGATGGACCCTGAAATCAAAGTCATCCCCGCTTGATGTGGGATTCCCCGTTGTATGTCATGAAAGTTTTATTACCACTTGTTAATAAAGAAGCTGCTTCGGCCTATAGCAGGCTGGAAGAGATGTATAGAGAGAGTAGGCCGAGTCAGAGAGATGCCACACAGTGCCGAAGGAGATGGTTGCCAGAACCTTACCCGGTAAGCCGCAGCCTCATGGTGAATAATAGAAACAGGTTATTTTAAGCTATAAGAGCTAGTTAATAAGAAGCCTGAGCTAATAGGCCAAACAGTGTTGTAGTTAATAAAATTTTTGTGTGATTATTTGTG